GGGAAGGTACTGTAGCGTTTTTTTTTACCTTGCAGAGAATGCATTAAGGTGAAACGTGCACAGCCTATAGTACCACTTGGGAGGACAGGTTCACACCATTTTCTGGACCAGATCTGGAACGTGGTGCATTGCGTTTTGACGTGTTTTTGCCACGTTCCGGAGCCTTTTTTTAAGCTTAAAATGGGCTTCCAGGTGCAGTCCAGTGTGTTTGCATGCATTTCCATATGTTCCAGTGCATTCCAGACCAGACAAAATGAGATATGCAGTATTTCTCTGGTCTGGTACGGACTTTACTGGTGTGAACAGAGGCCAGAAATAGCATAGGGATATATTAGGATGCATTTTGGGTCCGGAAACAATCTTTTCTACAGATGATCTGGATGTGGTGTGAATGGGTCCTAAGACGTTCCTTTGCAGCATCAGGTATCCGTCAAACACCGCATGGCATGTCTTGTGAGATGGAGAATGAAATCCAAAATATTACCTGGTCTGGTTTTTCTTGTCTTCCTCGGAGATCAGGAACCAGACAAACTCTGCATAGCTCATCCTGCCCTCCCTCTGCACAGCATTCCCCCTGTGAACACATGACATACACATTACTCTGGATGGAAAATTCTCCAATGTTAATGTCAGTCCCCTGGGAACTGCAGATGAATTGGATTCTGGGTCTATATCAATATTTTATCATTTACTGAACATCACTGCAGGCTGCTGTATGTAGGAATGTTACAGGCACAATCGAATCATTTCACATTGGGTACAATTAATATTTCCGCAGCCTGTACACAGTGAATATGAAATGTAAGAGTTAAACCATCTATACAAAGCAGGTTATCCCAACGTCCTGTCTTATGAGGTCCCATTTGTCCAGAAGATGGCTTCTTCTTAACAGACGCACAAGCAGAATTTGCAATAGTAGGCCAAGATCTTGTCTTACCGAGTTACAGCTCCAGAAAATATCCGCTCGATTATTCTGTTTGAAGAGGCTGGAAAGAAAACAGCACAGTATATAAAATCAAAGCAAACCTAGCAGGAGTGACAATATTCACCGAACAATTCACCCTGAGAGAAAGCGATAGGGCTCAGTGCCGGCTACATTCCATGGTGAGGAGTTCAAGGGGCCCGCGTGCTAAACTGGACTGGTCAGTCACTATCCTGACTTTATCTACCAGCATTTGTACTTTCTCACATCACCCACTTTCTTCGGATTTTGTTTTAAGCAAACCATCACCCAGATCCTGAATAATAAACTAAAAGCATCTATTATCTATTACAAACCTTGTGAAAAGGCACAGAAAACCCCCCAACATTTTCTGTAATAAGCAGGCTGCTGTTTCCTTGATTACCTTGTTTGTTTACTTATTATTATTATTATTATATTACAGGATTCATATAGCGCCAGCAGTTTGCACAGCGCTTTAAAATATAAGGAAGACATTACAGTTACAATACAATTCAAGACGGTAAGGAGAGCCCTGCCCCTGAGGGCTTACAATCTAGTAAGGAGGGGCAAGTGATACATGAGGAGGCAGCTGTGTGGGGATTAATTGTTTGAGAATGTGATGGTTGAGCGGTTAGTCTGAGGTGGGATAGGTTTCCCTGAAGAGATGAGTCTTTAGAGAACGCCTAAAGGCAGTCGGAGTGGGAGATAGTCGGACAGGTTGGGGTAAAGAGTTCCAGAAAATGGGAGAGACTCTAGAGAAGTTCTGGAGGTGAGCATGGGAGGAGTTGACAAGGGAGCTGGAAAGCAGGATCTCATGGGAAGAGCAGAGGGGATGGTTAGGGTGATACTTTGAGACCAGGTTTGAGATATAGCCGGGGGCAGAGTTGTGGATGGCTTTCTAAGTCGTTGTTAATATTTTGAATTTTATCCTTTGGGTTATTGGAAGCCAGTGCAGGGATCGGAAGAGGGGGATTGCAATAACTGAGGGGTTGGTTAGGTGGATGAGTCTGGCAGCTGCATTCATGATATACTGAAGGGGGGAGGAGCCTGTGTAGTGGAAGGCCAATGAGGAGGGAGCTACAATAGTCTAGACGAGAGATAACAAGGGAGTGGATGGGTCATTTTGCGGTTTCATTGGTGAGGAAGGGGCGTATTTTGGAGATGTTATGAAGGTGGAGGCGGCAGGATTTGGATAGGATTGGATGTGGGGAAGAAAGGTGAGGTCTCTGGCCAGGATGACACCTAGCACCTTCCGGTTTCCTACTTCCGAGTTCTTATCCTGGTGGCCATTTAGAGGAAGGGCTGAGGATTCCATCTCTCTCTACTCTTTGCAATAGTACCTGCCCCTGATGAAGTGCCACTGCAAATGTGCAATGTGTGTAAAATGAGTGTGAGACATATATAGGTCTATGAATGAAATCATGCAGGATTTACTTAATTCATGCATAGCTCTGGATCTGCCTCCTTAAACATGTGACAATACAAGGCACCTGAGGGGAAAATAAATAAATTCCCTGAATTCTGAAGATCATGCAGTGTACAAACTTTTTAAGTACTAACATGTTGCAGACTGATCCTGATTTTTGTGTTTTTTCCATACTGGCATCAGTTGCAAGATTTCACAATGTAAGGCTTGTTACAGAAGAGAAGGTAGATAGTATACAGCCATGAGGAAATTCGACATCAGCAAGGTTTTCAATGGTATGTATAGCAAGCAGAGTATTTCATGGTAATGAGTGAAAACCAGTTCCATAGCATTGGTAAAGGCCATGTCACCACCGTCAGCCCTTGTTAAACATAGAAAGGGTTTTTTTTTTAAATGGTCATTCTTTGGGGTAAATGGGTGGGAATAGGAAATGGCTAAAGCGGGGACCCCAGCATGGGCCATATTAATATGGGGTAGTCATGAGGTCTGTATAGTGGGACAATTGGAGGGTGCAAGAGAAGGACAGTGGGGAGGAGGTAAGTAAAGGAGGGGAAAAAAAAAAAAGTTTACAATTATTTTTTAAGTTTGAAAAGAAAAAAAAAGTTTCCAAAATAGCAGTTTGTAGCCCTTTATTTAAGGTAAGAGCCATAAACTGATTTCTCAGAGCCTCTGCCTTCATACAGAATGTGGAAACCTGTTTACTTCTTCACTGAAGAATGAAGATAAAGCTCTGAAGGCTTTCTAATAGATCCACACAGTGATAAGAAGGCAATGAGGTCACCTTTCCACTCCCGGAGAAGTGAACGTAACCCCCGTGGGGAAGCTGCCCTCTTTTCATGAATGGCTTGCTTTATATAGACATCAGAAGATGAGGTACAGAGGCCTCTACTGGTGCCAGGACTCCCAGTGTGATCCTGGAAGTGCTCAGTACAGCAGCAGGAGATCAGCAAACAGTCATTCTCCGAGTCTCTTCTACTTTGCCTGCTGAACTGACAATTCTGCTTCTGAGCCCAGCTGTGGCTCCAACAACCTCCCTTTCACAGTCTTGATCTAATGGACACATTTATGGATGTCCAGGAGAGCAACAGCCAAGATGTATTTATACCCCCGAAACAATAGAAGACACAAAACTAAAACACAAAAAAAATGTTTCTATGGAATAGAAATGTCTTCCTAAACCTTCTCTCCAATCACTTTAAACCAGATGACATCACGGCAGCGGCTGAGAAGAGTACCCTCTTCCTGCAGGTTAAAGTGTATTTCTGCTCCTGCAGCCAAACTTGGAAAGCACCTACTTTATATTTGTTGCATGCTCCCATTCATAGCAGAATTTAAAAAACAAATCTTTAAAAATGGCTGCTTATCTTTTTACTTGCCGAAAAATCTACATCAAAGTAGGGTATACATGTATTGAATTTCGTCCGGTTACTAATGAACTGACCGAAACTCACACAGAGGGCGTCACTGTTGGCACCCTTCCGGCCAACATCCTTTGATCAGCTTACGGAGCTTGCAGCCAACAATCTACAAGCTCTGTTTGGGTATTCTGACAGCAGCCAGTGCCACTGTCAGAACACAATGAAAATAGCAGGGGATTCCTCCATCCATGCTTGTGAGTGTTGGAGGAATCTGTTATATAATTTCGTCATTCAGCCGGCTGTTTGAATAAAAAAAATATATATACGTGTATACCCAGCTTTAGTTTTCCCTTTGTATGTAATGGTAAGGATGGGGCTGTAGAATTATGTTTACCATAATTAACCCTGTCTATACTGTGCTTGCAGATCTTATCAGTTTTAAACTAGATGAGTAGGACAATAGAAGCTGCCTAGAGAATCCTATGTGTAAACCTGCTCCAAAGAAACTTGAAGGGTAAGAAAAAAAAAACGTTTTTTTCTAATTTTTTTTTTTGTAGGTATGCTTTGTGAATGGTAAAATATAAACACATAGCGGGGGATTACCAAATTAGACTGCAAAAGGTGGAAGTAATCTTCCCACCAAGGTGCATTTATAAGGCAACTGTTCTCTATACTCACCATGGTCATTATATCTTGCCAAGTCCTTCTGGTCAACGAACAAATCGTGATCAGTATCCAGTTCCCAGAACTTGCAGTAGATGACATAGAAGTGTTCATAGGAAAAGTAATCTGTCACTTGGTTAACGTCATCCTCTTCCTCCAGCAGAGCCAGCGTCTGTATAACAAGAAACATGTACAATGAACACTAAAAATGTGTGCCAATAACGGACAGATTTGTACAAATCATACATACTGAACTGGCCAACTGTTTGCATATTTATTTGAAGGTACTCACTGCTACTGATTTGCAAATTAAGACCAACTAGCTTAGTCTCAGCAGGTGTCTACCCCAAGAAAAGACATGCAATAAGACTCCTGCCTGTCCTTAAAGTTCTGGACTTCCCTTCACCATGCCGGGAAGCCCGCACACTGCAGCTCCTTTCCCCTTCGGCGATAGGAAAAGAGAAAGATCATCTCTGTCACGCTCAGATTTTTTGCAACAAATGCAATAACAAACATTCATGTCAGAAGCACTCACCACCACCTAGGAAGTTATAAAGGGCCTGATCATCATCCAAACATTGCACTTCAATAGTAGTTGCACTTAAGTGGGATCTTTCAGGATATGTACACAATGTTAAGAGGCCCTAAAGAGGTCAATAGGCCCCCATACATTAGCTGTAAGATATAACAGCAATTCCTACCTGAAGTAAGTTACTTCTGCGAAGCTCTGTAGGGGAGATTCTTCCAGACCATGACCTGTTTACGGTGTAGAATATTCTCTGAATGACCTGCAGGGTTCAACAAAGAAATGTATGCAGATTAGATAAAGCACCTGATCAGTGTGTTATAGGTTAAGCTGCTCATACATGGCTTGAATTTCATCCAATTCGTGTTAATTATTCAAAAATCGAGATGTTAGCTGTCCCTGCCAACACCATACGGCTCAACAAACATCAAATGCAAAATCTTAAAAAACTGGAGCGGAAAACTCGGGAAACCGTAACTGCAGCCATTCCACTGCCAAATACATATATTGTTGTGTCTATGTTAGGGAAATGTATGACAGGAAATGGGAAGTTGGAGGAAATTCCATATTTGGACAGGGGTGTCCATTGGGAGTTTCTCATCAGCCTCCTGTTCCAGGGCCAACTGTCAGTGGAAAGATTTTCCCTCACTTTGTGATCACCATTACATAAAATGAGGAGATTGGGTGACAACACTCTTCAGTTGCACTTCCAACCTGGCAATCGGAAATTGACTAGCCCTGTCTTAAATGCGAAGTTTGGATTTCTTAAGGGTGTAATATGAAAAATGGTCAGATCGCAACCTCCCTGGCCTCTCTTTTTTTCCCCCAGGGCTCTGATAGGCAGAGCCTTGATGAGAGTTGAAGTTTCACCACAGCTGGAGTTCCAAGGTTACCTACCCCGGAGTTACAGCATTCTACTTGACGCTAAGAAGGGCAGGCTACAGTGCTTCAGAACTAGGTTGTACCCCAGGAGGCTCCCAAAGTCTGCTTCTGAGGCCTCTCCAACAAATATATTTTTTAACAGTTTTACAGAGGCAATCAAGACTTTCACGTGTGATGTATCAACTTTTAAACAAGTGCAGGATAGTATATTGTAAAAGGGCAGTTTCTGCTAAAATATTTTTTTTTAAGGTGTCCAGCGTAATCTGAAATTTAGTCATGTGGGTGGCCTAATCTAAATAAAATGAGACAATTCAGGGCCTTTGTATGCGACTCATTGTAAATTCATATAGTTTACAAAAAAAAAAAAAGATTCTGGACCTTTCTAAATGCTGTTTTATATAGAAATACATCCTTTTTAACCTGCCACAACCTGAGATGTGATAAAAAAACACATGAGCAAAAGTCCATTTGTTAAAAACCACATTTCATTTATTAGTTCCATGTCAATATTGACATCTTCCTGCAAGTGCTGAGCTTGGTGCCTCCTTCAGCCTCCTGAGCCTCCATATTAGTACTTTATATGTTGGACAATTTAATGACCCATATGGATCCTTGTGGGCTGGAGAGGTGAAGCTCAAAAATAAAGAGCTTATTGAGTTTGCATGTTAACCCTTTCACTGCCACAGATGTAAGGCTTACAGCAGAACACAACTGCTGGCCAAGTCAGGAAGCTTTACGTTGGTAGCTTTTAGCGTCCATGAACTTATATCAGAACAGTTCCCCTGACCGTGCCCTGTAAAATAATAGCGGTCATCAGCAGCTGAAAAGCCGTTGATGACAGCTATTAACCAAAAATCCGGACCCTGGTGTGCTGGTGGCTTATCCTTCTACTCAAAAGAACATCAGACCCAACCTCATCTGAAAAATTAGGTTAACAAAGATCCCTTAGCAAGCTGCAAAGCTTCTTCACTGGGCAATGAAGCCACACAGCATATTAAAAAGGCCAACAGGTAGGCTTCAACTGCCTATATCTCAACTCGCCTGGCCATGTTTGTGCAAGTTTTAATATAAACCATAACCCCAATACCAACCCCTAACCCCGAATGCATAATGTGAGATACAGCCATGCATATGATATGAATACGTCCCAAATAACATGTCTGGGCACTTACCGTCGTTATGTAACGGGAGTGAAATTCAGGTGCTTCCTTGAGAAATGTTAATCCAGGATGTGTGTCCACAATGTCCTGAAACAGAGAGGCAGGTTTATGAATCATGTAAATAGTAGGTGAGGATACAAGCTTGGGAGATTGCTCCATGGAGCTCAAGAAAACGTAGCAAGGAACAAACCACAAGAACATTATATATCCACATCTTTGGTGTTTAATATGCAAAAATGAATGCAACTTTTCTAAAGGGTTCACAATATAAATTTCCTACAAAGAACAGATCAGAGTATTAGTCAATGTTTGTCAGAGGATGTCAGTGTATTTTCTTCTGTATTCTATGTCTGACCCTCACCCATATCCATCAGAATCAAACTAAGCCTAACCACAAGTTGTGCTTACCCGTTTCTAAAATAAAGGCACAACAGAGACGCGCCACAACTCCTCGATGCTTCTACTTTTGTGTGTACCAATAGCTCAATGAATAGGCATTAAAAGTAACTGTACATTTGTACCAGTGCCCCCCCACTGCAGTTCCTAAGCGTTGGCAATTACTTTTAGACCAGAGCACATCTATGGATGAACAGACATGGATCTAGCTGTACTATATGGTGGCCATACACTTGGCAGGTCTCCTACCACAAACGAGATGTATGCGTTACCTACGATGATGTTCTTTTGTATGAAAGAGTGGATTATAATAAAACTTTGACTGGAGTTGGGCTTTAAAACCAAATTGTAGTTTTATTTCAAACAAATTCGATACACTGAGGGTGCAATAAAAAAAATTAGAAAATTTGTGTTGCTTTTTGTTGTTGCCTTGGAATCATCTCCAGTTAAAGCCTCACAGGCAGCAGTCTGAAATAAAGATTGTTGCTTCCTCTGTTAGAGCAGCACTGTCTCGGCAGTGGTCTGACACACTACCTGCCAAGGCAGAGCCACAGATCTGCAAAGAGTAGTGAGAATGTGCTTTGGCTGCAGAGCTCTAGATGTGACCAGCGTGGTAGACCACTGCTCTCACAAAGAAAGTAGAAGTCTTGTCTGCAGACCGCTGCCTGGAGGAAAGGAATAGAGTTGATTTCAAGACAAAAAAGTATGACTTTCCTAAACTTCTTTTTTATAGCAACCTTATAGTTTGTGTTAAAAAAAATACATAATATTTGTTCACACAGGAGGCATAGAGGTGCTAAAAACAGGAGGATCATCCATGTTTTTACCGCCCACCTACAATTCTACATGGCAGCCGCTCGGGGTGGTATGCAGGGCAACAGGGTTTTGCCGCAAAGTGTTTACAGCATGTTGCATTTGGCAGGTGGTGCCATTTGCCAAATGCATCCATTAAAGTTAATCTAAATGCATCGCAGTGCAGTATTTTAATGTAAAATCCCCATTGTGATAAACAAAACAAAAACACAACAGCATCAGGAGGTGGCAGTATTCATTCTGAACTTTTGTGAACCACCTTGCAAAAGTGATCCGCCACAGATCCCTTTTCAGAGGTGTGTGTAAACCTGCCGCCCACGTGAACGAGGCGCAATAATTAAATAATCAAAATCAATGCAATTCACCATTTATGGGCATTGTTGGCACTGTCAGGCTCCTGAATGTTTTTTTTTCCCCTCTTTGGCTATGAGCACAATGCCTCCCTATCCACAAGCATTCCCCGCCAATTACATTCAGTTCTGGTAAAGCAATGCTCTGCATGCCTGGGCAAGCTGTTTGTAAAAGAAAGAATGCTACAAAGGAGAGACCACTTCCATAGTCAAATAACTAAAGGAGACTTCAGCTTATGCCTAATGCTTGGCAATGCTTAGGACACTACCAAATAAAACGGAACAGCCATCCTCTATACTTTCATGAGTCTGTTAAAAAACATTTGCCATCACCATGAAGGGCTATGGAAAGGCACAGAATGCAAATGTTCATTAAAATGTATCTAAACCTGAAAACAAAAATAGAATATATTACAGCTCACCAGTCCTTAGGTATAGTGGCTGCATTAGTTTTCTTTATTTTAGGCTTTTTCCATTTATTTTTACCTGGTACACCTACCATGAATGTACTTCCTGTCCTAGGATGACACTCACTCACTGTACTGTATCTAAGGAGCAGCATTGTCACCCTAGGACAGATTAAGGACAAATATCTGATAACAGCCAGCACAGTCAGAGAACATGAAGCCATCAGATCGCTAAACAGGATCAACAGGTATTTTCTTAATTTATGGACTTCAATGGTATATTTAACAGACAAATAGGAAGCAACGTTCATAGGGGTTACATACTCTTTAATACGGCATGAAAACAATTCAGCATTCAAATGGAGCAAACCTTTCATTGGCTACGAGTAAGGCCCAGTTTGGGGGCTGAAACATGCAAGCATTTGTTTGCTGCTGTTATGCCTTTTTACAAATAAAGTACTTGATGGACGGATCCCCTTGCGAGTGCCGGTTTTTACCTACACCTTTCATTCAATTCCACAAAGGACAAGTGTCCCTCCAGCCTCACCTGCAGGAGAGGGATGAAGTCTTCTTGCTCTAAATAGCTGCAGCCTGGTTTTGCTAAAAGGTAGATGAATTTGGAAGTGTCATCATGACAGTTCTTTAGCAACCTGCAATAAATAATTACATTTTTATTTATTTTATCTTTCGGAATAACATGCGTACATAAAATCTATATTACTCGCCACAAACTCAGCCAACACTGGCATTAAACGTTATCGATTATTGCACTATACTACTTCATGCATGTAATTATTACAGTAGTGTAACTAGGGATGTGCCAGTTCCAAGTATTTGGGACAGTACCTGTCCGTAAACCAGAACTTCCGGGATCAGGAAGCCAGGCGGCAAGTCATTACACGCTGCCCGGGTTCCTGATTGGCCAGGAAGCTGGCTCAATGCTCCCTCATCACCAAGTGAACATGGAGCTGGCTTCCCGGCCTGTCAGGGGGTGAGTCATTACCGCCCCCCCCCCCCCCCGGCTTCCTGACTGTCCGGGAAGCCGGCTCCATGCTCCCTCGTCACTAGGGAACATGGAGCCGGCTTCCTGGCCAATCAGGAAGCCAGGCAGTGAGTCATTACCCGCCCCCTGGCTTCCTGATTGGTCAGAAAGCCGGTTTAAAGCTTCCTAGTCACCTGGTGATGAGGGTGCATGGATACAGCTTCTCGCCTAAGCTGGGTGGCGAGTCATTACACACAACCCTGCACCCTTAACGGGACTTCCGGTATCGACGAGTACCGGAAAAACAAAATTGGTACTCGATATCAAAAAAACGGTATCGGTGCATCCCTAATAATAACCAGCAGTAACTGATAATACTGCTACTATATAAGTACCTAAGGAAACAAAGTGGAAGTGCTATAAACCGGACAGGCTGCTATGGGAACAGGGCCAGTTCTTACTTCAGATCCTTTTATGTCTTTATACATAAAGCTGTGCACAGAGGAAGGGTGACGTGCAAAGTATATTCATTTGGTAACAGATTTCCATACCTTGCATTTCTTACTGTTCTTTGTACTGCTTTATGTAATGATGACAAAATCTATGCCTTGTAAAAGGGAGTAAAGAAGTTGATTATGTCCTTGATACTTACTTTCTACACATTGCAATAAATGAATGTACAGACACAAATCCCGTCCTCTCTCCTCCGGCCGCATTAAACAGGGCTGCTTTCCAGTACAGCGGACAACCACATATCTACAGTGGGGCAGAATGAAGATGATTCAGGTCCGACAGGAGAAAAAAAAGAGAAGACAGACAAGCTGCTCTACTAATGTGCTACAGAAGCAATATGCCTTCCCTATTACATTGCAAGGTCTCAAGATCAGGGCTCTCCTAACCCTCTTGTCTTACACTGTATTATAACTGTACTGTCTGCCTTTTTTCTGCACCCCAGTTCCTATGTTTTTGTGCATAGTTGAGTCACTTAGGCTTGTTTCAGAGGTATGGCTTTTTGGCCGCAATAAAATGGCAGCAGGTGCTCTGGACTGATGAGTCAAAATTGGAAATATTTGGCTGTAGCAGGAGGCAGTTTGTTCTCAGAAGGGCTGGAGAGTGGTACAATAATGAGTGTCTGCAGCAACAGTGAAGGATTGTGGAGGTTCCTTGCAAGTCCGGGGCGACATTTCTGAAAATGGAGTTGGAGATTTGGTCCTCAATGCTGAGAAATACAAGCAGATACTTATCCATCATGCCATACCATCAGTGAGGCGTGTGATTGGCCCCAAATCTTCAGCAGGACAACGACCCCAAATATACAGCCAATGAACTATCTTTAGTGTAAAGAAGAACAAGGAGTCCTGGAAGTGATGGTTTGGCCCTCACAGAGCCCTGATCTCAACATCATGGAGTCTGTCTGGGATTACATGAAGAGACAGAAGGATTTGAGGCAGCCTACAACCACAGAAGATCTTTGCTTAGTTCTCCAAAATGTTTGGAACAACCTACCTGCCGAGTTCCTTCAAAAACTGTGTGCAAGTGTACCTAGAATAATTGATGCTGTTTTAAAGGCAAAGCGTGGTCACACCATATATTGATCTGATGTTTCTTCTGTTCATTTATGTCCATGTTATTAATAAAAATGAAAATTTGTATTTGTGAAAACATTCTTGCTTTACAGCACACCTGCCTAAAACTTTTGCGGTCTGATGCCTTCATGGGATTGCTTGGTTACTGAACTCTACCACCTTCCTTCAAGCCTAGCAGACAGGTAAATTATATAACAATGGTTTGTTTTACCTTGGCAACCTTCCCCATTTCATAAATATCTGCCTTTTCATCCTCCATACTGGCAAAGGTAGCTTCAGCCTTGGTGATGATGTCCTCGTGGTTGTTGGTGGGGTTGGGCAGTCCTCTGGGGAAGTAAAATCGTGGAATGTTTACAGACAGGGAAGGGGCGACTGTTACTTTGTTGGCAGGTGGGGGGGAAGCAGGGCGTGTAATTACTGGAGGGGTGACGGGGACAGGAGGAGGGGTCCCTGGTTTCTTCTCCTGCTTGTTCTGTACCTGGGAGATTATAAAAGGAAGAAAATACAACTTTAGAGGAGCTAGCAATAACAACTTCTAATCATCTAAATCATATAAATATTCTAAACAAAAATGTACAAAAATGTTTCTCTTATCTTGCAAGAGAACATTTATTTTTTCAGGATATGTACATGAAATATTCATCTGAAACAAAGGAACACTAACTGCCATATTTACCTTACATCTGTCGGGATGCTGGGACCCGTAGTGCCACATGCACAATAGATAAGATGCCAGCCACCTATACCCAAGCTAGGTCTGTACACTAAAACATGCGTCTTTGTTCCAACAGGACAGCCAATGTGCCAGCCACAGGACAGGGTCAGAAAAATTAGGTGTAATTTAGCTTCGGAGTTAAAAGGCACATCTGATGCAGGGTTTAAAGTGACTACATTTTCTATCAGTATGCTGAAAAGCATGTTCACTCATCCATTCCATTAAAAGGGGACATTGCACAAACATTCATATAAGAGTTAAGCTGATGAGGAAAAAAGCTAGCTTTCTCTCAAAGTAAAGGCGCAACTGCTAAAAAATTAGCATAATCTCAACTAAATGAAAACCAGAGGAAAAAGATGCACATCTTTAAGAAAACTCAGTTGCTGAGCTAAACATGTCAGATTGGAGGTGGCGGACACCTGTGCAGTAGTGCCTGATGCCTTCCATGCTGAGGGTTTGAGATTTTCTATGGATAACACTTTTCACCATACCCTTCCATCTGTGATATACTAAGAGACCCATTTGGACTTGTACTATGTCTGGATTGATATACACTCTGAACAACAAGGACTCCATAATATTTGGATAAGACCACTCTTTACTTTATATTTGTACATGTCAGACATTAGGTCCGAGGACTTACACAATACAATATTCACATGTCAACATTGTTTGGTGGTGTGCAACAGGGATTGTGATATATTCCACTCCCCAGGATGCACTACTTGGATCAATATTATCTCACTATATCTGTGCCAATTGTGTGTTGGATAAACGTCTGACTATCCATCAACAATTGAATTCCAACAAATCCTGATCCTAGAGGTCTTGAAACTGACTTTTATGTTATAGTGTGGGGAAATAAAGTGGGGAAATCTACTGTTGGACAGTTGTCACCACATGTGTCTGTGTCATTGGAAAGCTATGATGTGTCTTTATTGACAAGAATGCAACATATCACACAATGCAATGTTTCGGGTCACACAAGATCCCCTTTCTCTGGCAAGACATCCTGTGTGACCCTGGCACGTTGCACTTGTGTGATATGTCGAAGTCTTGTCAATAAAGACGCATCATATCTGTAATTGGAGTGCCGGTGTTCTAGTCATATCATGTGCATGTGACAGTGCCATCCGTTGATCACCGCTGCACCCACCTACTCATTTTTAGATGAAGCGGTCAGGAGTGTGATGGGTATATGGACTTCTACTTCCATTGGAAAGCTTCCCCTCTATTCTTGCTCTAAAGACAACTCAAAATTTTGGATTTCCCATCACTTTCTAGACAACTATAAGGGGCAAATACCCCTGGGGGAGGAGGGGAGCAAAGGCAGCAATAAAATCCTGGCAGGTGTTCTATCCATGCCCTACTCTATACAAATTTAAGAAAACATGTTGCCTTAAGATATACTTTAAGAACAAATTAAAAAGTATACTTGCATATAATAAAACACTAAAAACAAAATATTATGCAATGGCCACTGCACAGCCATGTAGGTCATGTCTTTTTTGCCTTTGCACAGCTATGTGGAGGCCATATCTTGCTTGCCTTTGCACAGCTATGTGGAGGTCATGTCTTTCTTGCCTTGGCCTCCACATAGCTATGCAAAGGCAAGAAAGATATGGCCACCACATAGCTATGCAATGACTTTCTTGTCCTGGCACAGCTATGTGGAGGCCATATCTTTCTTGCCTTTGCAGAGCTATGTGGAGGCTATGTCTTTCTTGCCTTTGCACAGCTATGTGGAGGCTATGTCTTTCTTGCCTTTGCACAGCTATGTGGAGGTCATGTCTTTCTTGCCTTTGCACAGCTATGTGGAGGCCATGTCTTTCTTGCCTTTGCACAGCTATGTGGAGGCCATGTCTTTCTTGCCTTTGCACAGCCATGTGGAGGCCATGTCTTTCTTGCCTTTGCACAGCTATGTGGAGGCCGTGTCTTTATTGCAGCATATGACTACTTTTAAATTCAAGTGTATCCAATGACTAGGACTGGTCAGTATACATTAGAAAATGTGGTTACAAAGCAATACACGGTCATGTAGAATGTCAGCAAGCATTGAATACTCAAAAAATACTGCAGGATGAGTCTAACACATGCAGCCCTTCCTACAGAGATGTACGGCTACACGGTAAACAAATTGTCAATAACATTTTTAGACTTTTACAAACTACAGTTAAATGTTTTCTGGCCTTTTTTACACGCTGTACATGCACTATTAGTACACGATGAAAAGCACAGAGAATACATATATATATATATTTATGCACTCCCTAACATTAGTGATATCAAAAAACTTTGCTGGTTTTGACCTGAAGTATCTGCGGTAGTAGTGATGAGTGAACAAACGTTCACACTACAAAAAAAACACTGTAAAAAAACAAACACAAATCTGCTAAATATGAACAAAGCAGCAAACCCCATTGAAATCTATGGGAACCGAATCTTATTTTTTTCCTGGCCCTTTTCAAGGTCTGTTTGCACACAGCGGAGGATCTTGCAATAATTAAGTTAGAACATTATGAGGGACCTGATGACAGAACCTATGTGGGTAAATATATTAAGATGAAAATGATGCAAAGTGCATACTGAGTAAATATATGACTGAAAGAGGAATGAAATGTTAACCTTCCCCCCTCCAAGCAATGTGTTTGGGAAGCTGGGGTGATTGACAAGGTAATACCTATAATTTCAGGCAAGCAGGAAGACTAAGATAGTGGAAAGACAACTTCTATTTTATCCATCTTAAGTTTAAAGGGAAACCAACCGTTTTTTTGTCATATTTTATCTTTTTAAGGTTGCAAAAAAAAAAAAAAAAGGAACATAGGACAATCAGGAGCCAAGAGATGCATTTGATTATCATCTGCTTAGAAGTGATACTGAAGCCCAAATAAGATAATCAAGTGGCCAAGTCCAAAGATATACAGTGTGGAAAATAATGATTTGATCCCCTGCAGATTTTGTAAGTTTGCCCACTTACAAAGAAAAGGTCTATCATTTTTATCTTAGGTGTATTTTAAATGATAGAGATGGAATAACAACCACAAATCCAGAAAAAAACATGATACAAATGTTATAAATTGAGTTGCAGTTCAGTGAGTAAAATAAGTATTTGATCCCCAAGCAAAACACGGCTTAGTACTTGGTGGAGAAACACTTGTTGGCAACCACAGAGGTAAGACGTTTCTTGTAGTTGGTTACCAGGTTTGCACACATCTCAGGGGGGATTTTGGTCCACTCTTCTTTACAAATCTTCTCTAAATCCTTAAGGTTTCTTGGCTGTCGCTTGGCAACTCGAAGTTTTAGCTCCCTCCATAAATGTTCTATAGGATTAAGGTCTGGAGACTGGCTGGGCCACTCTGTAACCTTAATGTGCTGCTTCTTGAGCCACTGCTTTGCTGCCTTGGCGGTATGTTTTGGGTAATGGTCTTGCTGAAAGACCCAATCACGACCCATCTTCAGTGTTCTGGTTTATAGTGGGAGGTTCTAATCCAAGATTTTACAATACGTGACCCTGTCCATTGGCCCCTCAATTCAGGCAAAGTCGGCCTGTACCTTCAGCAGAGAAAAAGCCCCAAAGCATAATGTTTCCACCACCGTGCTGGACTATAGGGATGGTGTTCTTAGGGTCAAAGTCAGCATTTTTCTTCCTTCAAACTCGGCGAGTCGAATTGATGCCAAAGGGCTCAATTTTGGTCTCATCCGACCGCAGCACTTTCTCCCAATTCCAAGCGGTCAGCTGCTGGAATGCACTTTATCGCATCCTGGCCAGCTTCCTGCGTTCAGGGGCGTGGCAGTGCACTAAAGTCAATGGCACACCCCCCGCCCCCAGTGCGATCACCCACACCAGAACGCGTGGGAAAACAAAGCCTGCATTCTGGTCCATTGCAATCTGAAAAAATAGTGCTTGAAGCATATTTTCAAATCGCACTGGACCAGAAGGCACTGTGGTGCCATTGACTTCATTGTACCGCCATGCCCCCTCCTGCTCCTGAACACAGGAAGCCTGCCGGAATGCAAAACAGCAGCTGACCACTCTGGAACACACGGTTTATGGTGTGAATAAGCCCTGAATGATACCCACACAATAGGTTTTCTGATCATTTGTTTCAACATACTATATTTCTATTTGATGTAATAAGACCATCTTTTTAACGATCCTTTGATACACAGTTTTGTATCTTTGTTTAGTTGTTAGTACAGTGTAGTTATTAGATGAGGTACTATAGGAACACACTGAGTGTTTAATAATGATAGGTTAAGTGGTCTGCAGCCCTGACAGCCCTAAAGCATGGTGATCAATGTAAAACGGCTGTTGGATGGGTCATTTTTGTTTTATAATCCAGAAAGTTTCTTTGATTATTTAGCTGCGATACACAACCCCCTCCAGCACTGCATAAAATCACCACAATATTTTTGTTTTTCTTTTTTATATGTTCACCATTAAGTGAATGGGCACACGTTTGCTAGCTAAAACGTAAGAACTGAACGTTCCCGGGGTTGGGCTTTAAAGTGAATTTATACTATCTTGTATTTTATTTTTTTTATGTTCAGAAGTAGTTTCTTTAAAAAAAACAAAAAAACAAAGGCCTTTTCATCAGGTTTCCAGGCAGAAGGTGAAGCACTAGACTTTATATATCAATAAGATTGTGTAAGGAGTAAAGGGCCTTAGATTGTGCAGTCAGTACATTCTCCTCAAGAACAATTTCAATGGGAACCACGTAGTTCCAAGTAGTACACATTGAAGAGAGGCAATTGGAACTTGG